CTGTAATTGGTCATTGTAAGTCGCTTTGGAATAAGGCGACTGCTAAATGCCTAAATTGTAAATTATATTTTTGGAAGAATAAACCCCACAGATCCTCAACTCTGGTGTGTTTCACTCATTAACAATGCAACACAGAGCGGTGCGGTGCCCGCACAAATAGAATCAAATTCTGTGGGAAACACTGTAATCAACAGTCTTTATCAGTGAGACTAAACAATTATGGACCGTGAATCTAACTACAGCTCTCGTCCATGGAAAAGAATGTGCACCAGGGAACCTTCGTCCCTGAACAGTAAACTACCTCATGGCGGCTTTTGCTCTGTCATAGACTGGCAACAACAATGCGCCCAAGCTGCTCCTCCTTAAGAGAGATAGCAGCTATACCCAAGACCGTAGACCTATGCCGTGGGAAAGGAGACAGTAAAGAGAGAAAACGATGAGCTGGGTCGAAGGTTGAATACCTAAGCAAATTATTCCCTAAGAAACACCAAAAATATAAACCATCAAAACCACTTTGTGAAATGAATGGCTCCTACAACAACTTTACGAAAATGAAAAATTGCTGCCGTGTCAAAATCGATTCTGTCTTATAGTGAAAACTTGACTTAATTTTGAGAGACAGCGCCCTGAGGTAGCAGTTACTCATCCACCAACAACCTTCACTCAATCCCGAGCGCTTCAATCAACATTGATTACACAAGATCTCATTCCTATGCAGGATGTCTGAACTCAGAAACCTTCTGAGAGCCCTCATTGTGCCCAGCATCAAAGTGTTACTGAAGGCTCCATCTGCCCGCTTCATTTTCATGCCTCTTTTCCTGATCTACTTCTCTGAAGATGATGGATATACTTTTGAAATCTATGAGGACAGCTGGCCATTAGGCTAGAGGTAAAGCGAGACTCTCTGTATGACCGTGTTGAAAGGGGTGCAGGGGGGCAGTAAAGCAGGTTGCAGCGGAGAAATGAGAGTCAGGGGAGTGAGGTAGAGCACTTTTGTTTGCTGACATTACAGAGGCACATTGTAACGCGGCAGATAATAGCCTGCAGGTCAGACTGGGGGTCGAAGGGGGGGGGGGGCAGCCGGCACCTGCTGCCATTCATTCAAGGTGACAAAAAGCCGATGTCACCACCTTGCTGTGGCTCTGCGGTGTATCCAGCCTCTAGGTAGGTGTGTGTGTGTGTGTGTGTGTGTGTGTGTGTGTGTGTGTGTGTGTGTGTGTGTGTGTGTGTGTGTGTGTGTGTTTGTGTGTTGGAAAGAGAGAGAGAATGTGTGTGTGTGTGTGTGTGTGTGTGTGTGTGTGTGTGTGTGTGTGTGTGTCAGAGGTTTTATAACCGTCTGTGCAAAGTTGCTCACATGAATCAGGTAAAATGTCATCAACAAATGACATAAGGTGGTGCAGGAATGAGTCCTAAAAACCTGAAATGAGTCAGCATTTTACCACATGCAGTTTAGTCGTCATGAAGTCAACTCTTTTTAATAAACATTTTGTTTCAGATGCTTGAAATAAGGTCTGTGGTTAACACAAGCTTTAGAGATTTTCACGTTTTATTCCACGACATAAAACACGTTAGTAAACAACGCATTTGTACATTTCAGAAACGACTCAATGAGACTAACATCATCACAAAGAACTTTAGCTGCCTTTAGCTTAGCAGGGGTTACGTGAAGTTATTTGACCTTGAGGTTATTCTTTTATAGCCTTAGCTTTTTACTTAAAAAGTGAGAGAAGTGGAATTAATATGTTGAGATTATCCTGCTGAAACAAAAACTTAAAAGTTTCAAAAACGTGTATTTGCCACAGAGCTTATTTTCTGCAATTTTCAACTGCCAGGTCAGCCTACGAAAGATAGTCATTACTGCACCACTATAAATGAAAGCCCCTGCTGTAGAAACCACCCTGCATATTAACTGTTCACCTGGACAAATCAGTCCGCATGCATCCAGCCATTACACAACAACACCTGCACTGCAATCACTGCATGAGGCAGGCAGCTTTTGTTCTGCGGGACACCTGGGACTGTGCATGAGGTTAACAGCCCCTTTCCAGACAGTGTTTCACCTTGCTTGTTGAAAGGTAAAAACAGAGCTTTTAGGTTTAAAAGCGGTCTCCAGCTGGCTACAAACAGCAGAGATAGAGGTCGATGCTCTCTAACGCTGAGCAGTCTACCCTTCAAACACTCAGACAGCTATGAGAGCCCCCAGAGACGTTTCTGTTCTGTATCTAGCTCTCACTGCTGCTGCCCTTCCCACAAACACACAATCACACACACACACACACACTGAGCATTTAATTCATCAGTGTGCTGCTTCAGTAAAGGTCCCGACTGCCTTCGCACCTGAGCGTCAAGAGGTGAAAAACACCTGAGAGGAGAAGAAAGAGAGAAGACACACAGTTCGCCGTCGAAACAACTTCATGTGCTTTCAGGATTTAATTGAATTGAAGGCAGCCGGATCTCAGTGTTGACAGATGAATCACATCCCATTTATACCTGAGGCTGTTTTAAAACTCTGAACTTTCCTAACAAAAAAAGAAGGACTAGACAAATTAGCCCAGACACCATTATATGTGGCGCAGAGCTGTTTAATGAAGTCTATAATAATGTAACCTTCCTGTTTTTGTCACTTTTTGAGACACCGTTTCCTTTGCCACAATATATCATTTAGCTGTGGTTCAACCAGACACCAGCAATTCGGCCCCTCCTCTGTGTAATCTAGGCATAAGGGAAATTATTCATTAGCGTGTGGGAGAGAAACTCCCAACTCAACTTTGGGATTTTAGCCATTGCAGACCATTGACGTGCACAATACCCTATACGCACTACAGGAAAGGGAAAACCCTGAAAATGCATAATAGGGCCGTTTTGGGATCGGAAAAAGCTGTTTTTCTCCTAATGACTAATAAACTGAACTTTATGTAAAAGATCAGTAGCTTACCCCTTAGCTTCTAGGATAAGAGCTCGAGGTTGATGAGCGGTTCCTCTCACTTTAAACCTTAAGGGTATGTGCATATAAACTAGAGGAAAAAAAACCTTGTGCACAGGATTAATAGACAAAAGGGAACAAAAGCCCAACATTTGCAAACCTCCAACTATGATCTGCTCCAGCTTCAGCGTGGGCGAGCTGGAAAAGGATGAGCACGGGTTCATTCATTTCAAGAGGTTCTTCACAGTAGCCACCCACCTACTCCAATAACCACAGCACACACACTCAGCCCCGAAGAGACACACTGCATGTGTACAAGTGGACAGCAGAGGAACAACCCTGTGGGCAGCACAATATTACCCTCCAAAACCTCTTTATCCGAGGGATAAATTAAACAAAAGACGAGGATGTGTTCACACTCAAGAGACCATCAGCTAGGTGCATTTAAGAATGAGGTTCATCTCTGGTTTTATAATCCTGTCTGCAAGTCAAAGAGATATACTTTTTTCAATAAAATGACCTCCATTTAGGCTGATTTCTTTTGGCTTGATGACTGACTGTGATTTGCTTCTTTTTCTAATCAGATGTTATTAGCCAAGCTTGAAAGAGAATCAAGAGTATTTTCGTTTAAACCAAGCTGTAAACATTTTTGAAAATGGGGAATGTAATAAAACGATGGCCACTGTTACTAGTGAATTGTTAACCAAAAATAAAAGGCAAAGTCCTCTCCTGATGCCACAACAGAGCTACATGGCAGCAGCTAACGCCTCACCTGCAGAGGGAGAGCCAAAGGCAGCGTGAGCTCACGGTAACACTCGTTTTCTGCTAAAACTTGGGTCAAACAGAGGGTCACATGTTTAAAGTAAAGAATAGCACCGGTTCATCCACTGGTAGTGATGCGGTGTAGTCAACATTCCTTTTGTTTGGCTGACAAGATTCATCACCATTGCCACATCATATTTGCACTAATGAAAGTGAAAACATTTGAATTCAAAAGCTGAGAATTTACATAATGATGCACTCCCATGTAAATCTCGGTAAGCTTACAATCTGATCATCGATTGCATCTGACATTAATCTGTGAATAACTCCTTACAGTTGAATCAAGAGAAAAACTGAGCGAGAAAAGCTAAAATTATTTGGGATAAACTCCAAGGAACAGGTCAGAAATGTTGGCGTTATCATTGACTGACCTTCATTTGCAGTGCTAAATTGAAGGAATATTGCGAGTGTCAGAGAGGATCTCACAGGCAGACAAGTTAAAACATGCCTTTATCTCCGGCAGGCTGGACTAATGCAACACATTTGTCTGTCGAGGAAAGCTTTTGGACAGGTCACAACTCGTACAGAACATAGCCGCAGAACAAACCCAGTAGAGCCCACATTGCTTCGATCCCAAAATCTTTTCATAGCCAGTCTGTCACAGAACTAATTATAATCGTTTATTGAATCACCGAATGGCTCGGCTTCTTGTCTGACATGTTTAAAACCTGGCTGGATGTTGTAAAGGCTATTAGTTGTCACATCTTTTAACATTGTGTTTCTGCAGAATTTTACCTGATGCCATCTTGTCAAAGCTTTTATTTATTTTTTCTCTAGCATACATTTTGATCATGTAATTTCACATTTAATGCTTGTTTGAAGAATAGTGCTATACATTAGACTAAAAACTGATATTAGGAAAATGTAAGAGGGGTCCGAGCCTCATTAGAGACAAATGTTGGGAAACTGACATCCTTTAAGCCCTGATTGGAATATTGATAGTTTAACACTTAATGAGGCACAGTGCGCTTTGCAAAAAGTCAATGCGTTTGTTTGTTGCAGTGATCACAGGCAAAGCTGAAATATGCCAGCAACCAGACTCAGGTTTAATTATGTTCAAGTAAGCCGAGAGCAACTATACTGGTGCAGCTTTTATACCACTAACAGTGTTGGTTCTAAGCTGTAGAAAACCACTAAAAATATATGAGCAACCTCAACATGTTTGTAAAATGCAGGGCTATTGAAATACCAACTTGTGAAAGGTTTTAGACACCGTGTTGCCCAACTGTGAAATAGAAAACTCATTACTGCCATCTAGTGGGAGGCCAGAGCAAGGTCAAGGCAAATAACAATTTTATTGAATTAATATATTAACATACAAAAGCATCGAATACAACATTCTTCAAGATGACCCATTTAAACAGCAGGGTAAGACACTTCATCTGGAGTGGACAGCTCAACACCCTGTAAACACACAAATTAAATTAGTGAAACAGTCGTGTTCAAATTCACAGATGCTGGTTAAAACATTATGCCTCCACCGATCTTACCGTGTTCACGTCTTCAATGAGCACTGCTTTCCCCTGCATCTCAAATTCGCTTTCCGTGTCATTGTGCGAGCAGTACTCTTCACTCTCAGTCTCGATAGAACTGGGCTGAGAGATTTATCAGCATTAGGATCATGTTTGCTCCATGTGGCATTAAAGGCTTTTTTGTTTTTATAAAAAAAGGGTATAGATTTCACAGGTTCACAATGAACACGTGGTACTTGTAGCAATAAAGTCAGCCACTTTCAAACACCTTCCATTTCCCCTCAGAAATGGGAGGAAAATGAAATGTTTACCATCATTCAAACACAAGTTTGCAGCTCAGTTAAAAACTGGAAAGAGCCGCGATCATGCGCTGCCTTGACCTTTAGCACTAACCTCATAGTCGGGATCCACCTCGGGGCCCTCGTCATCAGCGAGCACCTGATTAAGCGCCTCCACCCAGGTCCGACTCTCCTCTTCTTCTTCTTCATCCTCATCCAACTCAGCCTGCTTTCTCTTGCTGCCCTTTCCACAAGGTTTAGTAGGAGAGACTCTGATTTCTGTGGGGAAACAAGCATATTTAGAAAGGTGGCTGGGGAGAGTCATGGTCTTGCATGACCATCAAAAGGTCAAACCGTAAATCCTTTTTCCACGTCAAGCATGACTGTTACACCAACATTGACTTGATCTGAACTCAGTTTGACATCGTAAAACATGTTTGTTTTGGTGCTGCTTAACAGGGGAACCTTGTTAACAAAGCGATTACATTTGCAATGTTAAAAAAAGCAAAAACTAACAGTTTTCTTTCAAAGTCAGAAAATGCTGCACTTTTCAGGGAACAAAAATCTAGCACTGGTTTCCCTGAGTAGTTAGTTAAATGTTAACTTCTCCTACACTTGTCAACAATGATAGACCAAGATCATCCCAAGTAGCAGGGCAAACAATTAGCAACATTACTAGCCAAATAGCCAGTAGGTTCAAGTCACTAGCCAGCTTCCCCAGGACACTTAAGATTAGCTGTTAAAAACAACAACAACCTTAACACGCTTTAATGAGGCCAAAGGAAACATCCTTCCCAATGAGAACAATTAGCAATAAATTATCGTTGCATGAGTTGGGAGCAGTGGTGTAGATTTACACAAGTACAATTGTGAGATACTTTACTTGAGAACCTCCATGTTATGCTACTTTGAACTTCAATTCAGAGGTAAATAGTGTACTCTTACTTCTGGTACTTACATTTTGAATTCAGGACTTTTACTTCTAACAGATTAGTCTTACACTCTGGTACTACTTTTACTGAAGTACAAGATAGGATAACTACTCCCACATCTGGATAAGAATCAACTCATAAGCTTAACAAAATAAAAATGGGGCAACGTTTTTGGTATTGTAATTTAGTGGACAACAAACAAGGCGTGCTTTCCACAGAGTAAGATTTTTTTCACAACTCTTGATACCTGGTGAGAGGGAGAGCCCGATGCTGCTAGACACCGGGTATCCCAGTTTACTCTGCACACAGCGTGGCAGCACGGACAGCAGCAGGCGGGTGACCCGGTGCAGGCGCTTGCGGCCGGAGAGGCTGTGGCGTCCGGGGCTGAGGGCCGAGGGGCTGAGGACGGCCTTCTCCTGCGGCTGCCGGTAACCCAACACCCACCAAAACCCGCGGTATGTGTAAACCTGTAAGTAAGTGCCATTTAAGAGTGCATGTAAAGCTAAGTTGGATGCAAAAGTGACTTAGCTGCAGCTCTTACCACGATGCCGAAGGGCCAGAGGAGGCCGCGCAAAATGGAGCGAAACACGCCACCGCTTCTCACCACGCTGTCCTCCTGCAGAGACAAAACAGGTGAGAGCTACCATTTACGAGTTGTTACGTTAATTCATATGTTCTCTATAAGTAGCGTCTATAACACTTGTGGAGAACACCGAGATTTGATGCGTCTTTCCACCATTACGTTACCTCAGTAAGACTGTTTTCGACCTGCTCCAGCTCCACGCTTTCAGTGCGGATTTCACAAGTCATCCTGGTGGGTCTGCCGGCCTGCGATGATAAGGAAGAGGCGTTAAAGGGAGTACTGGGTGGTGTGTCTGTGTCTATGTGTGTGAGTTTTGGAGGGTAATATGTAGGCTACCCTGAAGTTGCGTCTGTTTAGCCAATCAACAGGGACGAATGCACCTGGCGCAATCAGAGAGGACCAATGGAGAAATCCCGCCAATTAAGCTGAAACCGCCAGAGAGATGGTGGTCACATGACCAGTTTGAATTCAAAAAGAGGTCACATCATCCCAGAAATGCATAGTGAATATGCTGCAAAAATAACTATAAAACCTATCAACTAAGATAAGAATAAAGGTTTTAAAATGAATCAAACTAAATTATCTAAACTTGAAAACAAACATGTATGTTGGTAAAACAAAACTTGTCTTGATAAAACATTTTAAAAGATGAGAAAACAGTTTACTGTAGCATTTCCTTTCCCACAGGTTGCAGCTTTATATGTGTATAAAAAAGGTTTTTATATGTGTATAAATAAGGTTTTTATTTATTGATTGATTAAGTCCAAGTGATATGGACTATTATACAAATAAACTGTACCCTTTCAGCGATAGGCTTTATCAACTATTTTCAGACATTTTTAGACCAAACCTGACTATAATTGAAAATATAATCAGCAGATTACTGCTAATAAACATAGTCAATAGATTTAGCTTATTGCAACCGTAAACATAGCCGTAACCATGAAAAGTCAAATGGTTATTTGGCTAAAATTAGTAAAATGTTCTGTCCTGACGTTCTGAGAGGTAGAGAGATGATGCATGTCTGCTTGTTTGCATATGAAGAGGTTTAAGAGCGAGGCCCACCATTATGTTCCCTCAAGCTCCCTAATTGGTAACCGTTTCCGCTTCTGGCTTTCGTCACATTTTGTTGATGCATTTGGTGGAGGACAAAATGTGCAAAGTGGAGATGTATAAAAGGTGCCTGTTATCCCCCCTTTGCCAGTATACAACCGAGCCTGTTTGCAAAGACAGTGAAAGACGTTCAGCGATGGATCACAACACAGTCAAACGGACCTTCAGTTATGGAGCTATTGGCAGTAGGACTGAAGCTCTGGAGGATTGGTCCACATCACGCAGACACAGCAGCGCAGGGATCCGTGCACTCCTGTGGGCTACCAGCAGTGCACGGTCCCTCGGGCGTTCACTAGGATCGGACTTCCAGACCAGCCGGGAGAACATTTATCCAAATATCCTGACACCTGACAGTATCCCACAGTTCACTATACCAAGTCTGTCTGTGCAGAACAGCTTCAGATCATTCGACAAAGAGACAGACGAGGATAGTGCAAAGACAAATGATGGCTTAGGGAGTTCTGGGACTGATCTGGACTCATCTTTATCTGCGTCTCTGGCCTGCTCCACGCTCTCATCAACCACATCTTCCAACAGCCTCACTTTGGTTCTGTCAGATCGCAGGGCCGAGAGGAGTCTCTCCGACCCCTATTCCCGGAGGAAATCTATTCTTCAGAGGGAGGCTTCGTATGATTGCTCCTTCTCCGAGGCCCAGCACTGCCTGGACCCTTCCAGCAGAGCCGCCCTCTCCCTGCCACACTTAGCCAAAGTCACCACCCCGTACGGCTTCGTCACCTTGAGCCAGAGCCCACAGATGGCGAGCGAGGAGGCACTTCTCTGCCAAGCTGGGCCACGGCGCTTAAACAAGGGCGAGGAGACTGCATGCGCTTATAGCAAAACTCCACTGACAAGGACAGTATACAACAAAGGCAACTCCCTTTACCTGTCAGAAGACAAGAAGAGAGTGTTTAAAAATTCAACAGACTCACAGAACAAAGAAAAATCACTTTCTTCCGAGATAGAGGCTGCCTCTAACAACAACACAACAGTTTCATCCTCTTCTACACCCAAACAACCAGATGGCAAGCGTAAAAAGCGGTTCTACAATGTGATACGGAAACACTTCATCTCCCGCCATTAGAATTTCATCTTGGGACTGATTTGTAACCATGCAAAGTGTGTTTTAAACGTTTAAACTGTGTATTTATTCATGTAAAAACATGCCAATGTACACCAATGTTCTTGTGAAATACAAAGCATTTGTCTAAAGCTGTGAAAAATGTGTGGAAAATGTATCAATTGTCACTTAAAAAATAATAAACAACATAAACAGACTACTTTTATATTGTGTGTACTATGTTAATGTCTTATTCATTTAAAGTTCCTGTTTCATGTGTTGAGTAGCTTGGAGAATCACCTTATAACCATTCTGGGCAGAGTGAGTACTTCAGATCCACCATAGTGTTTAAGGTTAATGAATTCCTCCACCGCTTTCAGGATCTTAAATGTCACTCGCTCTCGGGCTGTGCTCCTATTCAGCCCCTTGTTGAATACGTCTGTGTAGTTTCCACGGTTAGCTGGATCTCTAAACCTGCACGAATGTGTGGTGGTTCGTCCCTCAGGCAATTGTTGCTCCTCAGCATACGAAGTGCGTCAGTGGAGAGACCCTTAATGATGGTCGACTAATGCATCCTCGAGGAGCCCTGCGCCCTCCACACTCCCACACACTGAGATTTAGTGGGTAAATATCATTATGATGCAGAGTGCTCGGCTCTTGGAGCAGTGGAGGACAATGAAAACACAAGAATAGGTGTGTGGAGAACATCGAAAATGATAATCACTCGCCATAAGGTTTGTTTATTTGCATGATATAAGTGATTCTACATTCACATTGTGTGCCTCAGGGTTTCCGCTACCATTTAATTCACAGCTCATTTCAGTCACTTAAGATAAAGAGATTGATGATTTTTTTTTTCAGAACATTAAGCAATAAGACTTAAACCACATTTAAACCCAAAAGCAAGTGTTATAGTTGTACATGCTTTATTTAGCCTTTATCTTTGATATTGTGTTATAATATTTAATTTACCCCCAGGCCATTATATCCCAATCATTTAAATGGGGTGAACAAAATGCAGAAAATTCAAACCTTCTGAAAGCTATGGATTTTTTAAAAGTATTTATACAGGAAATAAAATGCAACAGGCACTCGATTCTACAAAATAATAATGAAAAGAAAAAAACGTCAAGACCAAAATAAATAAGATAAAAAGGTAATATAATTGGTAACAGAAAAGGGAATGATAATAATTCTTGAAAAAAAGTATAACCTGTTAACACACACTTTAAATGTAATTAAAATCTCAACATGTTTAAGACTGCATTTGTTTTAACTAAGTTTACCAAATAAACTTGCTACTGAGTATATATCTGGAAGCCAAGAAAATTACTTTATTATATAACAAAAGTCAATCAATATCAATCAATACATCGATCAATTTAATAAATGTATATTGATAGAGGAATCAAAATCAAGGAGAGTCTTTTTCATTGTGATTAAATAATTTTCAAACATTCCCGTCTCCCCCCGGATGGATGGTAAGAGGTCTGGTGACATTTTGGATTTGATTGACACTTATTTAATGACCATAACCATTTTTCATTTCTCCTCTGTAAATATAAGTCCATCCAGTGCTTCCTTTTCAAAATGATGACATTAATGGACCATCACTGCAGCTGACATTTTGATTTACACAAAGCTTGTTTTCAGCTCTATATTTTGAGATTTGTAAAATACATCAGTCACAAACATGTTTACACGTTGTCATTGTGATTTAAATGAGACAGTGTTATGATATAAACATAGCAGAAATTATTGTGGAAAACGCTTTGAGAGACTATCACCCTTAACCCAGAGGATGTGAGGGATGGGAGTACTTCGAAAGAACACACTCAGGAATACACTCCAGCGCAACAGCACACACAATGGCAGATAATGTATCATAGACACATGCGTGGGAGTTTTTCTGTGGATCACTGACGTCACAAAGGTGTTGTATCATCGCAAGATGGGCTCTAGTGCTGTTTTGATTTGATTTTCCAGAGCTGTGCTACAAAATTAAAGATGGTAATGTTGAATATTCAAAAAGGTCTTTATGTTTCTCATACGGCCTGTGCTGCAGCAGCTCTTTTCACCCTCTGTCCAAAACCAGAGCCCTGGTCAGTCTGCTCTGATTTGTTAGCTGGGCGGCACTGTTGTCATTGGTGAACCGCTTAGAGATGCCCCGCCCCTTATCCTATCAAGTATAATGTGTTGGAGCGCTAGCCAATAGAAGCACAAGTGTTACATAGTGATGTCACCATGTTAAACAAAGGAGTCCAATCGAGACGTTTCAGGCAGGGGGGGGGGGGACAGGACACACACACTGTGAAACTCCCTCTGAAGGGAACTTTTGGATTATAGCCTTTGCAGACCATTTACATGCACATATTACACAAACCTATAACACACTACAGGAAAGGAGCACAACCCAAAAAGCATAATAGGGCCCCTTTAACATAAAGAAAGCAAAGCTTCCCTTTCCATCTTCATAGTGTGTAACTACTCCTCTCATGTCATCATAGGTCATAACAGAATGTATCTCCCATTGTTGCCATATATTGTCAAGGTTAAGCTGCTTGTACTTTATCTGCTAAAATATGTAACCTTTCCTTTAAAGTCAGTGAAAGCAAACACTCCTAAATGCAAGCACCGAGTCTTGAAGAGGGCGTTGCATTTGTTGAGACTTAAAACTGCATCATACAAAAGAGAGAAGTTCACTCTGAGCATACACATGGCGAACGTAGATAAACTGAGAGAGAACGAGACGTCAGAGCGAAATGAAGGGGCTTTCTGTAACTGCTCTTCCTCGTTCTGCCAAATTGAGGTTAGCTCAGAGAACAATTTTGCCCTCAAAACAGACCCCACTTTTCCGGTACCCACCTCAAGTACATAAGTGAAAAAAAAATATGTGCAAAAGATAATCAGGGCAGAACATTTACATTCAACTACACAGACGAGAGGCAGAGCAAAAGTGTCAGAGGGAGTTACTGAGCTAAACGGGAAGTATTTCGGAGAGGCAGTGAGATAGCCACCTGTAAGCTACACACACGCACACACACACACACATGCACCGCTTTCAGTGACAGCAGTGAACAGTGAGAGAGGTGGAGGTGAGGTTGTAACTTTATATATTCCTGATGGAGTCTGGACCTGGCAGCAGAGCGGAGGAACAGCCACCAGCACTGCCTGTCAAAAAGCACAGGTAAGAGGAACAAACTGACTCTTCATAGAAGTGTATGAGTATTTAAAAGATTCTCTTATTGGGTTATCTTTAGATCTAGTCCATAATCCTCAATAAGATCCTTATTTATTAGGTAGGACACTCATTTGCTTATGTCAAACCTCCTGCAGGGCTTGCACTTACATGTGTTTTTGTGATTCTGGGCATCAGTAGCCGTTCTTCCAGATGCTCCAGTGTTGGGTCTGATTGCCTGATGCTCAGCCCTGTTGATCTCCAGCATCAGAACTACACGTACAACGACGTCTTCCCTGAACCCACCGATTGTCACGCAGCCCAGTGCCCCATACACTACGGTAGGTTTACAAAAGGTAAAGTGACTAAAGGGCGTTGGAAAGTGCTCCATTGTTCTAAATGTCATTGAAACCACAAATCCATCATCTACTGGTGCGGGGTTCTCTAATTCGGATACAGCTCAGAGCGATGGGAAGAGAAACTTCTTACGATAATATGAAGTCTTCTCAGTTCGTCTTTCTCGTGAGAAATGAAAGCGAGGAAGTTCAAATGTGAAACTCTTACTTTCAATAACATTCATTTAGTATTCTGATAGATTATAATGAGTTGCAGACTGTTAATGCTGACACACACTCCTCAAACGTGTGCATGTTTATTGCTTTTGCTCACTGACCCAAATCTCTGTCCCTGTGTTTCTCAGATCCCTCCCAACACCAGGTGAGATTTTTCTCCGATGGCACCCCGCCGCCTGTCCCAAAGAAGAGGTTAGTTCGCACCCTCTCCCTCCCTTGCTCCAATCTGCCTCCACTCTCCCCTCTGTGTCCCCCGTCTCCACTGCAAAGACACCCTCAGAACTTCGACAACCCCCTCTACATGCTGGCACCCATACCTGACATGCTTTTCAGAGAGGAGACAGAAGAGTTTAAACCTGTCAGTGGGAGTAACGTCTCTTTACTGCACCTCTCCCAGCTGTCCTTTGACACCCCGGATGAACACCTGCCCTTCCTATTCAGTAGATTTGACGACCAGAAGGTTATTTCTCAGGGGATTCAGAATCGACATCTACTGTTTTTGAGAAGCGTGGCCCAGAGTGTGGAGGCTGGGATCCTGCTGCAGGGAGAGGCCTCAGAGAGGAACTTGAGCTCGTACCAGCCTCAGGATTTCCTGCTGTGTGAGGGCAGCGGCCCAAAGCAGATCGGAGACACGCGTTTCTACAGCCTGCACAGCCCCAAGCAACCCGGGAGGACGCTTGGTTTAAGGGTAAGGTTACAACTCTTTTAAATAGAGCACTGTACGTTCTGTATGATAATAAAAAAAGGTAAAATGTTCTGTTGTAGTGTTCTCTGTTCACTGTGGGTCACATTGCAATTGAGGTCATCTGCAAAGCGAAGTGGTTTGCACATTGCTAGCAGTAAAACAAACTTGATCTTTATCACGATTGGCAAATGTGACACTGACTTGCGGTACCCGAAACACTTCCTCTAAACTGTCATCAGGTGTCATAACTGCAACAGGAAGGCGAGAGAAGATATATTTTTGCAATGCATGTTTTTTTTTATTATGACTATGGAGTTTTCGGTCTTTCTGTGCAGGTACACAAACAGCCTGATGAAGCCTCCTCAGCTCACACCAAACATCAGCATGTCAACGTTCAAGATATGATTGCTTATTTCCAAGCAAGCAGCGCCCTGAGGGAAGCTCCCTCTCATCCTCTGAAGTCAGACTGCAGTGCTGCTCCACCAGCAGGTGGAGGCAGCACTGAGTGTGCCACAGTTCATGTGAACATTAATCTGCCCTCTGTTCAGTCTCTCCTGCAGAAAGGACTCTCAGTGGGTGTTGAGAGAGACCTTCCTCACGCCACTCTAGAGGACTTTGTCCAGGTTAACAGCTCACTGCAGAGCACTGACTGTGAGGCCTATGACAGACAGGTATGTGCTCTGTTGCTGCAGATATTACTAGGCTCACAACATCTGTATGACATCGGAGCCACAGCGGCTGAGCTCAGACCTCAGGGCATCTTTTTAGTGTGGCCCTACAGGGATAATGAAGAGGGAGAAGACAAGGATGATTCTGAAATGAAGAGCGGTTTCACAGAAAAAGGGATCCAGATGTTATGCAGGACACACGGTTCCCCTCGTGTGGTCTTAACCCCGGTATCATCTGCTCCAATACCTCACATCTCCACCTACATAAAAACCCAGATTGCAGCTCTGATTGAATACTGCCTCCACTCACAAGAGAGCCTGGCCTCAGCCCTGTCCAAGTCCTCGTACCGCAGAGGGCTCCTCTTCCTGGGGTCTCTGCTCCACTCTGACAGCAGGGGGCCGCAGATGGCTGACATGGTGGCCCTGCTTCAGGTTCTCCTCTGGGGGCCACGAGCCTCCATCTTCAATCAAAGCGGCTCTATGACCACCGCTGTGCACAACTGGCTGACAGTCAAGCGAGCGCTGCTGGTGATGAAGCTGGCAGAGAGAGGGCTGATCCAGGATCAGTCTGCACTGAGTTGGGAGGACTGTATGTGCCTGCAGTATCTGTCGTTCACAGACCCGGAGACAGTCCTGAGTGTGACCAGTCAGCTGTCACTGGACGGATCATCGTGAAGTTAAATCATTATTTTGCCCACTCTCGGGTATTGACAGTCCAAGATCATTTCAATTGTCAGTCTGTATTATGCAGAATAGTCAAAAATACACTGAGAAAGGTTTTCCAATCCATCCTTTAAAAATACAAAACATCGATATTCTTCATATACTGCTCTTCATCTTCATGTGACATTGATTTAATAAAATGCTGCACTTATTTCTGCTGTAATATTTTATATTAAGTGGCCTACATTTGTATTTCTCAAGCAGCTTTTTACTATAAGCGAAGGAATTAGGTGTATTGTAAAAAAAATTAAATAACTAAATGACTCACTACGTTTTTTGTGTGTATTTTTCACGCTAAATATGATTGATTTAAAACATGCTAGCTCTATATCACATGTAATATTAACATGATTTGTTTGGTGTTAAATATCAGTTATAGTTACTACTCATACATAGCAATACCTCTAGATGAAATTGAATTGAATAGAAGTTGTTGAGTCCATGAGATTTCATTTTTTTCCATGCTTTACAGATTTTTTAAGACACATATTTGTTAGGGAATAATTTGCTTGGTTTGACACAGTTCATAATTTTCTCCTCACACTGTTTCCTTTCCCACGGCATAGTTCTACAGCCTTGGGTATTGCTGCTATCTCTCTTAAGGGGGAACAGCTTGGGCACATTGTTGTCGCCAGTCTAGGACAGAGCACAAGCCGCCTTGAGGTAGTTTACTGTTCAGGGACGAAGGTTGCCTGGCGCACATTCTTTCCTATGGACGAGAGCTCTAGTTAGATTCAGGGTCCATAATTGTTTCGTCTCACTGATGAAGAATGTTGATTATTACACTCCGAACTAGGTAAAACCTCGAGCTGCAGAAAGAGTTCTTCAGAATTGGTTTGTTAACTCGTGACACACCACCTGTCTCGTCAATTCTCCGGCCGTAACTCCAAATAAACCGTCAGTGTTTGCCATCAAAGCTCCAGCTCTCCTCGTGTCTCTCTGAGTCCTGTTTCCAATTGCTTCAGAAGTTTCCCCCACACTTATTGTAAGAATATTTTTGCTTACAGTTTTCCCTTATTATAATTATTTATTTAATATTTGTGTGCTTAATTTAGTTTCTTACCTGAGGTCGAGGCGGGGTGGGGGGAGTGATGTTTAAAATAGAAAACTGAAAGTGAGCATTATGTTTCTGCCCCTTTCTTGTTCTGTAATTGTATATTTTGTACTTTTAATGCTCAATACAAATATGTAAAAACAATAACACTAAGAAAGTGGATCAGTCCAGTTCTGAAGTCTTTACACTGGCTTCCTGTTTGTCAAATAATTGATTTCAAAATACTGCTGCTGGTTCATAAAGCATTGAATGGTTTAGGCTCAAAATACATTTCTGACCACTTTGAATGGCCTTGTGTTGAAAGCTGCTATATGAATAAACTTGCCTTGCCTTGATAGCGTAGCACGGGATGCTAACATCATGTACCTGTGTGCAAACTAAGAGAAATCCCCTCATCTATAATTACATGATGGCAGACTGAAGCCCCGAAGGAGTCAGAGACCCCTCTCATCTGCTCTTATCTCCTCTCATTACTATACGATACTGTTCACGGTGCAACATCCTTTAACATCATCTCCTCTCTCCACGATAATGAGCCATAATTGGAGAATTTCAAAGGGCTTAAGAGGCGGGGAGAGATATTATACACTGGGTTATTGCTTTCAAAAAGCCCTGGAGGAGAAGATAAAGTTTCAAAATGTGTCTTAATGGATCCTTAACTCCATCATCTGGGGCCAACGGACAGATTTACATGGTTTTATATGAAGATGAAAACAAGGCTCTTGGTGGGAGAGTGTTAGCAGTTTAGTAAACCACACCTTGTTTCGTTTGGCAAAGATGTGTCACATATATCGGCTAGTTTAGGTGCACAGAGGATGTTTTAAGATAATTCATCTGGTGCATTAATACAATGAAGGGCAATCATTTTTGGTCGGGGATCATTGATGTCACATTCATCAGCTAAAGATAATTAAATCACCAGTCGGCCAAATGGCTAAATGAAACTCTTGGCTGTTGTCTGATGAAAGTGCTCCGCATGCAGATTTCAGTATCCTGCAAAAAGAATGTATTATTATTTGTATTATCTTTAAAAAAAAATGCTGATGGACTCCTTTAATGTTTTTATTCCAGATGTGATCAAGTCACTTTGAAAACTGTGTTTGCATTTTCTGAGTGTTTTCCGACATGTTATGGATAGCTAAATCGATCCTTGGGAGATTGTATTGATCATAAGAATAATTGCAGATGATTTTTCTGTCAATGAACTAATTGAATATTTGACTTATCATTCCAGCACCAATACTGTTGAAGCTCTAATGCTGTGCAGTAATGAAAAGGTAAATCAATAGATAAGACAAATGGAGATCATAGTGGATTCTATAAAGGTTATGTGTGTGTGTGTGTGTGTGTGTGTGTGTGTGTGTGTGTGTGTGTGTGTGTGTGTGTGTGTGTGTGTGTGTGTGTGTGTGTGTGTGTGTGTACCTTGTGAAAGGTCCTGAAGTACGCCGCCTTCTCGTCCGGGTATTTCTCTATCCGCCGCGGTCCTTTACTGGAAGCTTTCTTGAAAACCAGCCAACACCTCCGGAAGATCTGAACACAGACAACGATGTGAGTTACTGAAACACCACCGAGACATGCATTTCGGTAACTGGAGACACAGAAAACAGAAAAACACAAGCTGAGGACGACCCTCTGAAACCACAACAGAGCAGGAGAGTCAACCTCCAAAGCAGACAGCAGATAAATCAATGCTGCTTCACCAGAACTCTGTCTATTATCCACCAGAATACCCAAAAAACGAAGTATTAAACTCTTTAAAAGTAGCTCTTAATGTTTCCCATTGATCAAAATATAGATTGGCCTAATACAGCGGAGAGAAAAGACTTTGGAGAGGAAATTAAACCATTAAGCCTCATGAATCAAATCTGAAAATACATTTTAAAGGAACATATCTCATTCACATATTAAGAACCCATTATTAATGCATTTAGATCAAACTGACAGCTGCATAATCAGAGTAAATGCTTTCATTTTGGTCAAAGCAACTCCAATTACTCTTTATTTAATCTCTCAGTTGTCCAACGAATAACTGATGAGCTGAAGGATTATGATGAATAGTTTATTTGTTGTGTGTTCGTTGTTTTCAAAGACATGTCCACGATATCCTCAGCAGCATATTATGCAAAAGATAAACAACAAGTGCACCAGCTGGGAAAAAGATATTTAATTAGTAAAAACATTTAGCAAAGAGGGAATGTAGGTTAGTAAATACACAATTATTTATTAACTTTTTCTGTTATTAATTCATAACGTAAATACTGGATATTTTATTGTTTTAGTGATGAATTTATTCATTATTTTTCCGATTGCTAAGTGAATTCACTTTATTAGGAGTTAGGGCAGAAATAGGCTGTCACTGCAGGCTTTAAAATGCATGTTAGAAAACACACACACACGCACGCACGCACGCACGCACGCACGCACGCACACACACACACACACACACACACACACACACACAGAGAGAGACAAACGCACACGCTTTGATCGCGTTCACTCTTGGATTGCTGATTTACCGAAAATGCATGGTATCAACATGTATCAGCCCAGGTGACATATTTGAATCCCGAAAAAATGACCTGCCAACGTTAAGATGTTATCATCGTCACTGTGTGCATGTGGACTGAAAGCAGTGTGCCGAGTGCACCTTTTGATATCAAATTGTACGTACACTTTTGAAAAGACGAGAAGAAAAGATGGAGGAGAGGAGATGAGGAATAGGTCTCATCACAAATGATTCACTTTACTCGGACTCTAGCGCCTCGGGCCGGGAATGCACCCTAATCTCTCTCTTAGACACAACAACACACATGCACACACACGCACGCACACGCACACGCACACGCACACACACACACACACACACACACACACACACACACACACACTTCTCTCTGTGGTGCAGCACATAACAATACACTGTATTGATTATACGTCTGACCCATACATAGGCTGAAGATGACACAAATACAATAGTGGTGGTCTATTGGATAGTGAGGTGTGCTGAAGGTTGTGAGTTCAAATCCCAGAAACACCACCACTAGTGTGCCCTTGAGTAAGGCACTTAGTCCTTAGTTACTCCAGGGAGAATGTCCCTGTAATTGGTAATTGTAAGTCGCTCTGGATAAAAGCGTCAGCTAAAAATAAGAAAAAAAAAATACAGGTTGTTGTATATCGGAGTACTNAAAAAACAATTTGCACGTGTACTAAGAGTAAACAACGAAATCAAGTGCACTATCTCTAGACGTACACATTGATGATTTATTTCACGAGTGGATTTCTTCACCACAGACACCAAATAGATTAGGATGATTCTCAAAGACCAAACCGTTGGTGTACATTTCTCAAACAAATGTGTACCTGGTGTGCAGACGACAGTGGATCGGAAGGGCGACGGACCGCGTAATCATCCACCGGCAGTTTGAAGAATAGGTCTATGTGTCGACTCATCTCCACACAGACTTGTTCCTGACTTCTTGACTCCTCCAGATTTGACTGAGCAAAAGGAAGGCCTACGTCGCCCGTATTAGACAGATAAATCGTCAGTCTATGTAACTTTACTTGAGTTAAGCACCAAACTTCTCCAAATACAACCGTATAACCAGACTTTCGTGAGGAAATCACGTATGCCTCTCGAAATTCACATAGTGATTCGAACTAAACTAATCCTTATTCGTATGTTACCTCAGCAATACCTGTCAGTGCGAGTGTTGTGACACCCCCCTCTGAAGACATCGTTACCTCTCAGTCCTGAGTCCTCTCTGTGCTCCTCTCGGACCTCCGAACATACCGTTGTGTGACCGCCCCAAATAAACCTCAATGCCGGCCTCTAACTGTTCTGTCCACCACACAGTGCTCAACTGTTTGGTTAAGACTTCTTGAGAAAGACGCAAGCTCCAAAATGATCAAGCTCACATTATTAGTGTAAGAATAGTGTCACTCTGATTTGGTAAATACCTGGGCCTTAGATTGATCTCGAAGAGCAGTATCTTTCTTACACGCGTCCGTTGGAAGCAGGGACTTGTCATTTGATGGGAGTTCCGCCCGAACACGAGACCAGCACTGACCGCTGTTTTCGACCGGTTCTCGACAGGGGGAATTCTCTCCTATCGTCGTTATGGCTTCCGACATTATCTTGATACGGCACCTTTCCTTTTGTCAACACTCCTCCTTTTAATCTACTTGACACAGCTTGGTTCGTTTAAGGGCTGTTTATACGACAGAGAATTTTTTAGACATTTGTACCTTTTTTTACTTAGAGTACGGAGTGTTAAAGATAATAAGTTAAAGTAGATCTCCATAACCGATACACTCATCATATATTGACTATAAATGTGGTTGTTTAGTACCAATTATAATGTTCAACACTTATACTCGTCCGTACAAATTTAGTATAAGTAATAAAAACGCACTTTTTATGTGTGTTTTGGCATCACTAGAAATCAGATAAATTAAAACAACATGTTAAGTTAGGATAAAGGCGCCGAAATAATCATTATACGCGGACTCTATATGTTACAATCGAACAATTAATAAAAAAAAAAAAAAAAAAAAAAAAAAAAAAAAAAAAAATTTTACTAAATGCTCGTCTTTAATTAACACGCGTAAAATATTAGTACACAGTGTACTTCATACTTACTCGTCATAATACTACCTTATAGCTACAAAACATAAAAAGTTTCCTACCTAACCTTTTGAGAGTCACATAAAAACTGAAGGGATTATGCCGCTGTACTTTTACTAGAACCTGACAGTTAGGGGCTTACCCGTTTATTACACAATAGTAAGTGATACTAGGCAAGGTCACTGATCGACTGAACCTACACATCATGGATACAGGTGAAGACACAATGCCCGGATATTAAGTGGGCGCTTACTCTACATTCCTGGTACATTAACATCTTACCCTAGTGCAAATATAATTGAAACACAGGTGAAGCAAACAAAGGAAACCTCAAGCACACTGTATTTGGATAATATATTCATTTCCCGTAAGAATCATAAAGCTGTGTAGCGTATGGATTGAAATAAGAACAACAAACATCTGTAACTGCTCATTTAATCGTCATCAGAGGAGTCTCGCTCGATGCTGTAAGCCATGAAGAAAGCATCGGGGCGGGAGGGGACGAGGGGATGACCCGGTCTCACAATCTCAAAGCCCAGGAAACTGAAAGTACGCAGCAGGGAAGCTGGGGAGGAACAAGAGGGACACGGATGTAAATAAAGGACCGTGATCCAGAAACGGCACCTTCAAAATGCTGTCAGAACGGCCAGTCTTCTGTACATATAAAGTATATTACAGCTTTGAGTAAACAAAGCAGTTCAAATGAAGAGTTTAATATTATAAAAACCCAGTTAACAAAAGTCTCACCTCTGTCGTCACGGCTCTTGTGGAAACAGATGAACGCGTGATCAACCTGCAGCTGCTCTTCTGCAAATTCCAGCAGAAGAGCAAAACTGTAGAGAAACAAAGCAAACAGACGGGTGAATGTTTCACAGGAGGAACATGAAGTTACAAAATAGGTATTCATTATGGTCTAAGCACAAGAGTAACATTTAACAAGAAAACCAAAGCATTTAAACCTTAACTTCACTTAAAATACTTATTTGATCAATCAGGCTCATCAAATGATCTTTTACACATTTATTTGTTGTATTAACATTCAAGTTTTAGGTAATCTACTGTACGAATAAAAAAAAACGTAATGGTCTGTTATTCCCTTAGGTGTAGACAATCTATCAATTTCTTAGTATTATTTAGAATTAGTACATAATGTACATTTGGTCGCCCATCAATCATATAGATAGAAACAAGTTGAAATGTTTGTACAAGAGATTTCTTTTAAATGTTGAAAAGCGTTCTGCCCACGGACCTTTCTTTGCTGCCCTCGGGCAAAGCTCCAGGAGGGATTTCCACATAAAGATTCTCTCCCTTCAGCGCCGCCCTCCAGACACAGTGCTTGCCCTCCGAGCGACGGGGCTCGAAGAGCAGGAAGCGCACTCTGCCGTTGGCAGGGGGGGGCTCCTCAAGAACCAGCAACTGAGTATCCTACAAGACAGAGAGGACAACATGTTCAGAGGACAGAGTATAAAGTTGCAGAATGCAGGATACAAATATATGCAGTTAAGGAATCTTGATGAAAATTACAGAAATACTTTAGAGTTGGCAAGGAAACCACAGCTGACCTTAAAGCCTGAACCGGAGAAGTGGTAAAGATAAAAACAATCAGGCGAATCAACTTCAGAGCCATAAACATACAGTAGATTGGTGACTTTGATAAACAGGCTGAGCCTCAGGTGAAGAGCGGCTTCACATCTTTCCAACTTTTAAAAAGAAATCGGCATTATGGTTTAGTTATTTCTGCATCCTTTTGATCAGTTTATTGCATCACAATCATATCAAATGTTGCTTATTTTGGGTTCATTTCAGTTTATTGAACCAGATTAATCAAACTAAACATTACATTACATGTCACCTGTTAGACGCTTTTATCCAAAGCGACTTACATACTCAATACTGTGGGCAATCCCCACAGGAGCAATTTGGGGTGAAGTGTCTCAGGGACACAACGACATGCTGACTGCAGTGGGGACAACGCGGACACGTCTGACTCGTGTTTTGAACCTTGCTCCCCTTGTGTCCATCCCTCCCATTTGACATTCCTGCCCCCCCCAATAACACGTTTGTATTCACTCTACTTATAAATAAGTTTTTACTATACAGCGAGGTGTTGGGTATCGCATAT